TTAAGGAAAAATTCAACTCTTGCTGAGCGTCTCCCCAGAGAACAGCTTTTGAGTGGATTGCTTTTCCAAATATATTTTTTACCGCCAGCAAAATGGGAAACGTATAAGGCTGAAAGTGGGTGGCATAGAGTTCCCTGAGTCTATATTTTAGAATAATGAAAAAATTTCGTTAAAAAAAATGAGACCAATTTTTTTAAGTCCCATATTCGTGAATTATTTTTCGATCCAACGAATCAGAAACGGAAAATTAAAAATTCCCGTCAGAAGTACCTGTTTGATGTCTGAGTACAGGAAAAATCCTCCTTTTGAAATATGCCTAATGAGCATAGATTATAGGAGGGAAGTATTTGAAAATGTATTCTCCACCATTACAATAAGGGGCACACGAAGAGATATCAAGTTGGGCACACTAGAAGTAACATAAGTAATGATTTTGATAAAAAAAATGAGGACTTTCGTTCCCATATGTCACATATTCCAATGGGACGTACTTTAAATACGTCTTTGTCATTTCGCGAAGAATAAATTAATTAAGCACTCTCCAAGGTAGGGGAGCGCCGAAGGCGTGACCACAGCGAGTTTGTTTGCCCGAAGGGCAAACAAACTCGCTAGTATGAATATATTGTCATTATTCAAGTTATTTTTCTCGACACGGACACACGTTCTTTAAAATAAAATTAAACAGAGAAATGGAAACCAGCATGGAAAATTGACAGTGATCCATAGGAATCCCGAATTAAAAAAATTGTTAGGGGTTGGATACTGTTCAATCGCGTGGTCTTGATCACTAGGTTTTTAGATTCTAGGTTTTTTTAAATTATTTTTTTCCCCTTTGAATGAAGTTTATTGTAATTTTGAAATTTTATATTGAAATTTTGATGACTTTACAATGTAATATGCACTTCTGGTGCAATTTGGAAGGAAAAATGATGCAATCATTATAATGTTTCAATGACTTTCACTGAAAATGCTGATTCCACTTTGCTTAAATTGATATTTCCTTATATCTGAATTTATATAGCGAGACCACAGGATTGCTAAACATGTGCGCATTTTTGTCTCGACTATGCCATCTTTTAAAAATTTTCAGCATTTGGGAAACAAATTGACATCCTATTCATACCAATGGAACTAGCTTTTCCTGCCTGTTGGATGATGTAATGTACGCGGTGTTTTAAAAAAAAGTGCCAATAAATTTCGCTATTAATGACAGAAAATGTTGTTAGATCTACTAATTTTTTTAAACACTGCATGTAGATTGGGAAAATAAGTCATGTGCCAAAAATTGAATGAAATTGAAGCATTGTATCACGTTCTATGGCATTTCAAACTTAACATGTAAAAAAGTTATTTGTGCAAGCTAAAAGAACTGTCAATTCCTTTTTTTTAACATAGGAATGATAGTAAATTTCATCCGATAAACCCAATATTTCGCAAAATGAATGTAGATAGATGAAGGAAAGCTTTTGCAAATTTTGAAAGATATTGACAAAATGTATCAAGTGATATCCCGTTTAAAATTTGAAGGCTAAGAAAATTAACTGGACATGCTAGCTGATGCGTTCCTCTTAGCTATGCAGCAAGCGAGTGTTGGCGTGCCATCCAGAACGGTAAATGAGGTTAACGGAGTCCTTACGGAGTCCTTACGAGTCCCAGTCCCAGTCCCAATGAGTCCCAATGAGTCCTTGCGGAGTAAGCTTTGTGTCGCACATCAGCAACAGAATCTCTTGAAAGAAATGCAATAACATAACGTCCCATAGATTTTCTTGATGGAGTAATAAGGAGATGGTTTCTAAACGCACGTTGCGCTAACACTACTGAGTTGTGTTTAAGCACAGTCCCACTATTTTGGCACGCTGAGGAACACTCCAACTTTCTATCTTAAAGTCTTACCTAGTAAACTAGAAAATGAAAGAAATGAATCGATAAGATAATTATACACTTCCAATATTTCCATGAACCATTACTAAACTAGTGGCAGGTAAAACCTGTTGCAAACCGGAGGAAAGGAAATACTCTGTCGTCGTGGAAGGAATCGCCATGATATTCAGAGAACACCACCCGAGTAGAACCCGAACGTGTTCAATGAACGTTTCATTCAAGTTATGGTCAGCATTACATTAATGTCCTTGGAAACGTCCTATTAACCTCTTGAAATGTTCAAAATTCAAAGCAAGGAAAAACAGTTTAAATAATGCGTTCCTGGAGCTACGTGAATTAAATATTTTCAGGGAAACTGTTCAATGAAACGTTCTTTTTTAGAATTCATCCTATATGAAACTAACGTTTAGAATAGGTTCTTTTCATCACTTAAATTGCATTAAGTCTAAGTAGAGCCCTGCTCACGTAGCTCGGATTTAGAGCTTAAATGTTGCCGATCGGTAGAATTGCTGGTACTATCCTACATTGCCAGAGAGAATTCTGGGGAAATTCAAATTCATAATATACGTTTTTATCTCATCATCAGCTATCTATTATTCTGAAGTCAGACATCCCCGTCAGGAATAGCCATGGAGTCTACCTAGGTATATAGATATCTCTGGAGAGGCATTCGCTGCCTTGAGAGTTACAAGTACTTCCGCAATCTTGGGACGGTTCCGAACTTGGGAATGAATAACCTGATAGGTTGGGTCTCGGCGTGGAGGTCCCCAAGCATATAGTCTGGGGCATGTTGCCTCTTTTGCCCTCCCCCTCACTATGTGTTTGCTATGAAAAACCTTACTCGTGCACCCTCAGTAAGCTCGCGGCCGTGCTTGGAAGGGTGCAACGCTTCCGCCATGGGAGAGACCCCCTCATTTTCACACTTTCTATGGTAATACCCATCATATGGGAGAGATGATGATGGATGCTGAAAATATCTTTCCATGTTGGAAATTGAACCATCCTCCTATCGCTCCAGCCAGAGTTCTTTGGAAACTACTTGGACTAGGTTACCCCTTATGATGGATTTATTCAAGAATTCGAGTATCTTCCGCTGTGGTTTATGTGAAGAAAGGTCGGCTACATTGTGGAAAATGTTGGTGACTAATTCCTGCTGTATCAGGAATTGACCCACTATTGCGATTACTTTGGCGCCATCTAGCGTCGGTTATACGAATCTTTACTTTAAGCCAATGACAAATGGGTAACTGATATGCTTCAGGAAAACATCTTCAAAGTGCCACGAATGTCCTTCAAATGCAGCATGTTTCGAGACTAAGAGACACTTTAATTGAGCTTCAAAAATATGCTCATTCGGGTACACTGGATGTCCAAAGACCCCTTTGAAAAAATGTTCAGCGCCCTCAGAAACGTTTATATGCTACTTGAGCTGTCATATGAATAAATCCTGCAGGTCTCATTTGACACTAGATAATCGACAATCAACCAGTGAATGGAGCGAAGGAGGCGAATGCGAATGGAGGCGAATAAATATAAATTAAGATGCAACATGCAGCACATCGACGATCAGCAAAATCACTGTATTTTTTGTTTACAAGATCCCAGCTCCCAAACCGTATGCACGTATGTTCTTGCCATCTACCAATGCGACTGAATTAAGGGAAAACAATCCAACCCTTTGAAAACTCTCACTCTCGCCGACCTCTTTGGGTTGTTCGTAAAATTCTGCTAATTGCATTTAGAGCCATGGAAACAAACGAGGAAATTAGGATGATGGGTTTCTTTGCGAAATCCCGTGTGAACGCATGTGGTGACGAGCTGAGGGATCACCTGGTATTTCGTCATGGATCCTTGAAATCCATGGATTCACAGCAGCAGGCGGGAGGCACTGCTGTGAGCGATGCCAGCAATCCCTTTCCAGAACCAGGGCAACTCGCGTTTCCAAGTTCATCCGAAAGATGGCGAGACGAGAGCTAATAGCCGATTTCCAATGAAAAATCTTTCTGATAGCCGATTTGCAAATTTCATTTCGAAAATGCACATCCTTGGATGGTAAGGAAGAGTTCTCTTGAAACCCCAAGTTCATATCTCGATGCATTTGGCCTGTTGAGCTGTCACACACACACAGACACAAACAAAACAAAGCATCATCTGTCACTCGCCCTAGCTAGTGGCCAGAAACGCGCACGCTATATGTTTCATCTCTAGACCGAACCTGTCCTCCGGTTTGAATTACCACTCCATATCTCTTCAGAATTTTTCTAATGACCTTGCGTAGGGGATTTCGAGCAGTGAATGGATATATTTAAAAGAGCCAATCAAATACGAACTTTCAGTTCCAGACATTGTTTCGGCGGTTTAATAGAAAATCTGCTTCATTCATTACTTTATTTTGAGGTTCATATTTCAAACTTAGAAAGTATCTCACCCTACTTTTATCATGCCTATGCCAAATATGATGCTCCGATAAGGTCTTGTTAACTAGATTTCCACCATTGTCATAACATTTTTCCCGGATTTTACTAGGGAAACCGGACAAGGGGTACTTAATTGTTTCTCTTCAAATTTCCCTAGTGCGAAATCTTATTCAACGTCTTCCTAGACACTCTTTCTTAAGACCTTCCCTTTGTGATTTCAGCCCATCATTTTCCCCGCAAAAGAGAAAAACAAATTCCTTTATACTTTATTATTGGGCACAACGTTCTCCAATCCACTGTATTTCACTTGAAATACATTCAATGTCACCCAAGCGTCGCGACGAAGGCGTCACCGTCCAGGTTAAGAGGAGTCCTCCATATAAATGCACGGGCTCCATGCTGTGGGCGGTACTAATTCATTTGCAAAGCACCGTAGAATAGCGGTTCCTTAACTGAGGGTTGTGTTCCCCTGAAGTTCGAATGAAGTTTCAATGAAGGCATGACGTTTCAATGAAGGCATGACGTTTCAATGAAGGCATGACGTTTCAATGAAAGTTAAAGGAAGTTTGAGAAGCACTTGTATTCACTGTTAATCACTGGCAAAGTGATCGTGCGAATAAGTATGAGCAAAGATGGGGGAAGATCGAGGTAGGAATGGGGTTGTTTAGTTGGAGAAATGAAATTTGTTTTTTGTCCTTGCAGGTAATAAGTGTATCAAGGTGGTAGATGGGAGAGAAGTGGGAATATCAAAGGATCTTTCGAAACTCTTGGTCTTTTTCGAGAAACAAGGAAAGAACAAGGACGTCCTAATTGACGAAGTCTCCCTCACTTTTGGAATGCAAGGTCCCCTCGATATAATGAATCTCAACGAATACTGGAAGCAGGTCCTAAGCATGGGCAGATATGTGAGAAGTCTGACAGTTGCATTCCGTCCCAATGATCCCACATATACCAAGGATATTAATCCGAGATACATAAAAATTCCAAGCACCGATGCTGATATCGACATCGAGGTTGACGTTTTGTCTGTCGTGAAGAGGAATGCGCAACTCGTGTCGGAACTATTTCTGGCTCTCGGGAACTACTCCCGTCGAACCTTTGTGTGCACGGAGCCTACTATGGGCGGCATGGAATTCTGCCATCCTGAGGAGAGTTCGATGCCCAAATTGCTCCTCATCCCATCCTGCTCCACTCTCCATGATATCTGCAAGAACAAGCTGACCTGCGAAGCCGTCAGGTGCTCTCAGGTCATAAAAAAATACATGGACATGCTTCCCACAACTTCACAAAAGTCTGTATATGTTGTTGTGGACACGAGTGAAAGGCGAAATCGTCTAGTGAACGCCTTCATGTTTATATATGAAATTTCCGTCAAGTTCGTGGACGTAGATGGACGCTTTCTGACCAAGCTTGCGGACGAAGATGAGCACTTTTGCGGAAAACCATCTGACATCGTAATTTTGACGGCTGAGCAGGTTCTTGGATATCATATGCATGACATTTTAATCCTTGACTTGCCAAAGTGTACCTGGAGAAATTACGTTCGAATGCTGTCGACGTCCCGAAAGAATACCGTCATTGCTATAGAGCTAGAAGCTCTACAAGTGGGCAAATATTCCTATATCAACGAAGGCATGTCGCAAGTGCTAGAGACAATGCATGTGATCGGGAATGATCCAGAGTTCGAAGAAGGGCTGAGGGAGAATTTGAATATTGCATTTACAATAGAGGAACAGAAAATGATGCATTTAGATGAGAATGTATGCCAGACCCTAATGACAGGTCGTCAGGAGATGGCAATGCAAGATAATTTCGAAGTTCGTCGCCATGGACCTGAAGAGGCGGCCATCGACTTGAAGAGACGAGAGGAAAGCATTAAGATGCTGAATGTCATCTTTGGTCACTCTTCATCAGGAAAAAGTTCAAAATTGCTTGACATCATCACAAGTCTCACTTGCCACGGCCAAGCACAGCATAAAATCATCCTTCTCCATATGGGAAGTACTTTAAGTAAGGAGGTATCAGTTGATCATCTCAATCGACTTGGAAAAGAAAATCAGAAGGACCTATTCTTTATTCGATCAAAAGCGCTTTCCCCAATTGGTATCATTAACCATGATGTGGTGAAAGACATGGTATGGCGACACAACTCTGAAAAGATTTACATTCATGTCGATGATTATTCCATTCAATGCTATGACACTGGGGACGAAATTAAACTCTGGGAAGAGATCTTGAAGTATTTAAGAAAATGTCGAGGAAATCTTATATTGACGGTTGTGTTCCAGCCCCACGCAAAAGGAGGTCGAAGAATCTCTATGAGCAGACTGATGTCTTTCTTTTGCAAAGAGGAGAAAGGAAAAAAGGATGTGAAAGTTATAAAACTCCCTGAACACCCTATTCCCTGCTTTACAAATCCAAATCTTCTCCTTCACATTACCAGGAATGAAACCCACACATCATTAGATCTAGAAGCGAAAAGTATACATACCACCTCTCGTCCAGGGGCCTGGGTCAGCGGCCCAATGCCAACGTACATCAAGTGCGTGTATAAGTGCATCGGGCATCACAAGAATCACCCTTGCCATGGTCAGGAAAAGTGCGAACCTTTTCTGGGTGCGTTCATCTGCTTTCAATATTTCTTGAAATCGTTGTGCCTTCCATTCAAAGAGGAAGCTCACATTTATGTGCTTGTGTCAGACTTGAAGCTGATGGATTTTCTACAAGCGACGACCGAAGATAAAACACTTGGATTAGAGTTCGTTCACCCCGAAGATTTTCGGGGGTGTGAGTCAAATGTTGTCATTACTGTTAATGTAGAAGATTCCTGGATCTTAGAAAGCCTGTCAAGAGGTCGGACGAATGTCTTCATCATTGATTGTATAATAGCTCATCAACACGTTTGGCGTGCTATGCAAGACGAGAGGCATGTATATTTCCAGGAGGCACGGTACGATGAAGGCACACTATGCATAGACGAAGGAACTCTTCTTTGGCTAGATGTAATTGGAAACTTCCTACGGGTGAGTCTCTCACTCTTCCTATTCCTTACGCTGATTATATAGGATGGGCCCAAAAAAATTATTCATTTTGCATTCCGCTGTAAAGTTTTCGTTAAGTCAGGTGCCTCCAGTTTGCACAATTGTTCGGCATGGCTAAAATACAATGAAATACACTAAATCGAAAAACTGCTCAGAAGCATTTGCAAGAGGGGAAAGCTGCCACTGTGCGATATCCCTACCGATGCCAGAATGGGCAGGCTGAACTGCTTTGTCTATTTTAGTAGACGGTTTGGAGGAACGATGCCCTTGCACAGTAATTCTGCGAAGACCCTTACGTTATGGCTGCTGTTTGAAATTCTCAATGTTAATCGTCTGTCCATTATCTTCTCTGCGAAAGGTTTTGTGCACAAATGAGAAGAAACATCTTGTAACGCTTCAATCTTCTTTCCTTAACGATTGGTGACAGCGTCAAACAAATCTCTCTGAGCAATTCAAGTCACGGTCACTCTTGGCAAAGCAACAGACGGAAATGCGAGGAATTCCTTTCTAAAAAGATATTTCCCAAGTGCTGAGACTCTTCCCAGGATTCTCATGCTCTCAACTGATCAGTTACAAAACGTGTTCCACAATTGGTGGAGCCCATGGGTGATTCCATGTCAGTCCGCAAACTTATTTCGCCAACCACCTCCGATTTCGATACTATTCGGCGTGCTGATAGTTCCTAATGGGTAAACAAACTACAGCAAATCTCAGCTCTATACATTATGTATTCTGAGAATGATAACTAATAAAAAAAATTCATTGATTTTCGGACACTTTGAACTCAAGGATCGCATGAAGTGTCATAACTCCGTTAGTAATAAATATAAAAATGTGAATATGGTATTGTTGGGAAGATAATAAAAGTCCCTATCATATGATATGTAACACATAGTGATAAATTGAATGACCTTTCCCTACATGTATTGTAAAGACTTTGAGATTTTACATTACCTTGACCTAAATTCCCGCACTCGAATTTGCTGAAATTAAAAAAGTTCTGGAGGTGAAAGTCATGGTACTAGCATATATTCTGTGAGCTAATATACCGCTAATTTGAAACTATTAGAACATATTACTGGTGTTTAAAAGTTAAAAGCAACTTCGAGCCCATGGCTCCGATACTGAACGATACCGGCACATGTTATGAAGGTCATCCACCAAAATGCTCATATCTCTGTTGATAATCAAAAACCCAAAATGAAATTGTCAGTGTCCATAAATGAGGTCATGGCTGATGATTTCCTATAATTTTAGCGAAATTTTAGGAACTTTATTGCCGCACCTCGTATATGATACAACCAAACTAAGGATTTAGAATACATTATGTTGAATGAAATTCCACAAAGCCATTAGAAAATACCGGCACTTCTTCCTTCGCATGGAAAATATCAACTTTGTGATTATACAGTGATAAATAAATTATATGATAATTGGGAGTGTTGAGATCCAATCGATGGCTTCCGGTGTTTCATGATGTAATTCAGCAGTACCACCACGGAAGGAGTATATGGGGCAGTTGTCCAGTATATGCCCCATGGTTTGAATTTCGCCGCATTGACATAGTGGTGAGTCTTTAATCCGCCATTTGTGCAAAAGATCTGCACTTCTACTGTGTGAAGTTCTTATACGGGTGGTGGCGCTCCAATGCTTGCGTCGAAGCAAGAAACCAGGTGGCTCGGATGTACGGTCCAAGATGAGGCTCTTGTCCTTAACTTCAGCGTCGTTCCATGGTGTTCGCCACTGTTCATATGGTCCGGTGCTGGTGGACCGGAGTGCTTCACCTGTAGTCCAGAAAGGTATGCGGGACTTGAGGCTTGCGCGTGGTGGTCGACTGATGTCGTCGTGGAGCGGAATGGATCCGTTTGAGAACGCTTTGCTGTACTCTCGCAGCGTCGCCTCATCACGCCTCATGGATGGCGGAGCGATGTTGGCGAGTACAGGTAGCCAAGGCAGTGGGATCGATTTGATGGTTCCGCTGAGGCGCGCATGGATGCGTGGAGCTGGGTGTCGACCAGGTGGGTGTGCGAGCTTCGCGCCCACACTGGTGAGCAGTACTCGGCCGTGGAGTACACCAATGCCAAAGTCATTGTCCGGAGGGTTCGGATATCGCATCCCCATCTTGTTCCAGCTATCTTGTGGATGATGTTGACGCGGCTCTTCGTTTTGCTGTTCACCTGTTTAAGGTGTTGTTGGTAGGTGAGAGTCCGGTCCAGTGTGATCCCCAAGTAGCGAGGGTAGGGATCATGCTTGATCAGTTCACCACAGAAGCTGATCGCCAGCGTCTTTGCATCCTTGTTCGATAGGCGGAAGGATACGGTCTTGGAGGTGTTCGGCTTCAGGCGCCAAAATCGGAAGTTACTCATCCAACGCTTTCGGGTCAGCATTAAGTTGATTTTCGGCATCTTCGATGGTTGATGCCTATGAGACAATGGCCATGTCGTCGGCGTACATAAATTTACGGCTCGCCGTCGTCGGTACGTCGTCGACGTAGATTGAAAAGGGACGGGGCCAGGACTGAACATTGAGGGAGAACATTCTCGAGGCGCTGTTTTTTGCTCAGTTGTCCACTGAGATGGACATGGAAGGAGCGGTCAGTGAGCATGAGGCGCACCATGCGCTTGCAATTAAGCAGATCGGACGGCTTCCGTAGGAGTCCTTTCCGCCATACAGTTTCGTCGGCTGGTGTCAGATCGACAAAGGTCGCGGCAAGACTTTATTTTCTTTTGAAATCCGGCTTCAATGTGTGACGTCACTACTTGCACTTGGTCACAACAGCTCCATGCAGGTCTGAATCCTGCCTGTTCAGGTGGAATCACACTCTCTAGAGCAGGTGTGATACGGGTCAATATTGCCCGCTCTGGGAGTTTGTAAGCAGTGCAGAAGAGTGATATTGGGCGATAACTCTTTGGGTCATTGGCCAGTTTGTGAGGCTTCAGAACAGTGATGACCTGAGCTTTCTTCCAGGCTTTTTCCTGGAAGGGATATCTTGCTCGAGTGCAAATTTTCGTGAATAGAGACGCCAATCAATATATTCATTTGGGGCCTGGCTTTTTTTAGGAAATCCGGGAGGATTTGATCTGGTCCGGCCGCTCTGCCTGATTTTACGGCGGAGATAGCGGCATCAATCTCTGTCCTGGTGAAAGTAACAGAGATATTTGAGGAAGGGCTGTATCTTGATCTAGATTGTCGGTGGGCTTCGTTGACCTTCCTTTTTTTTTCTTTGGTCCGTGGCAGACTTCGCGTTTTTTGAGATCATCTCAAGAAACGCGAGATGGAGTTCGCGGTCACTTGAGGAGCTCCTTGTTTTGCCGGCGCAGAACCTCAGCAGGTTCCACGCCTTCCAATTGGAATGAGTGAAGTCGATGTTTTCAAACGTCTCCTCCCATCTTTTCCGTATTTCGGAGTCCAGTGACTCCAATAAGGCAGTGGCAATGTCGGGGTCGTTGGTAGCCTCGTATTTCCTTAGGAGGGATTCACTTTCCTCGCTCCAACATGGAGTAAACGAGGATCGGTAGCCGCGAGGGATGTTTTTTTCTTTGCGGCCTTCATGAGTAGCTTCGCAAATCGATCGAAGCATCCAGGCTGCGGTGGGACATTGCCGATCGTTTTCTCGACGGCTTCGGTCCAACCCAGAAAAGCTAGCCAGTCTCAGATTCTAGCGTGGCTTTGAGACGCTGAATATGACAGGTATCTCCAGGCCGATATGCAGCACGGTTGGTCTGTGCTGGCTATAGGTAAAACTGTCCAGGACAGTTCTCGTTGCTGGGAGAGGTAGGCTGCTTGCGTCTGTAGACACATAGCAGAGGTCGGGCGAGTAGTCGTTTCTCCAGCGAGCTGAGCGGGAAGTTCCTTCCTGCTTAGAGTGAAACTGGAGGCGCATATCCTGCGTCGAGGCCCATTCGGTGAGTTGCTCGCCTGCGGCATCACTCGAAGAGTAGCCCCATTGGCTGTGGTGGCTGTTTTCCGAGGAAGACCGACGGGTGCTTGGACGACGGAAGCACTGGCGAGGGCCATAGCCGATTTGGTGGCTTATACACGTTGTATATGGTCAACCCACTGATTCGAATACCAACTGCAAATTCCACATCTCTTTCGGGTAGCTGGAGGGTTGAGTCCTTCAGCTCTGGCCTGATGTATGTGGCCAAACCATGTTTCACATGGCACCTGCACGACGTGAGGACGTAACCAGGTATCTTCAACCGTTGTGAAGTTTCATCTGCGATGTGTGTTTCTTGCAAAAGGACATCCTTGTTATGGTCCTTGAGAAGCTTAGCGATCACTTCGCATTTTGAACAAGATAGGAACGCAACGTTGAGTTGGCATAGGCGATTCGCTGGGCCAAACTGCGATTCATCTGGCCCTTGAAAGGACCTTTTACAAGGGTAAAATTCCGGTACTGGCTGATAAAATAGCGCACATGCATTGTACATGGTAGGTGTTAAACATTACATTGCTAAGAGGAATTTGGAAGATTCCTGTATATTACTGTACACGGTGGCTCAAAAATCCCAATCTATTTGTTGAATTAATTATAAATTTAAAATATTTTCGCCGGGACATTGATTAATAATGGATATTCATGAACCCTGTATAAGGTTGTTATTGATTTAATGGACCACATTCTCTTCAGCGATGAAGCTGGTTTCCACGTCTGTGGAAAGTGAATCGACATAATTGTCGCATCTGGGCAGGTGTAGGGCCAGCTAAGTTCTACGATTGGGAGAGAGATTCTCCTAAAGGAGGAACACAAACAAATTAGGTGATAGTTTGTTTTCTCCTTAGGTACTATCAGTATGCCAAATTTCATTGAAATAAGGAGGAGCTCAGGAAAAAAGTGGCGGACTGACATGGAATCACCCATTAACTAGATTAATTGAGAAACACCCGAGTGTTGCTTAATGTATCAGGAATGAACTCCCATATCCACTTCGGATACGATGGTTTGAACACATGTATTCGTTAGAAAGATTCAAAGTCAGGTAAATAAGGCAGCAAGTCCACTATTTTGAAAGAGGCATCTTAGATGTTTGTATCAACATCACTTGACAATGTTTATTATCATCATTCCTTCTTGAATGAATTAGCTAATTTTTCAATAACCATTCGTTTTCGTAGGGATGCAATATTTGCCAGGAATTTTCGCGCCTTGGGAGCTTGCAGGAGTACGGAAGGAGAGGAAATTTCAACATCCTAAAACTTATCCAAATATATTTTGGAGCAGACGATGAGAGATCAATGGAAGAAGCTATACGAACAAATGTGGCATATTTTTACCAACACCCCCACAAGAAGGCCTATTCCCTGCCCGAGGGATATATTTTGAATGATAAGATTTATAAAGAGATGAAGGAAAAAGCTGAAAAATGCGAAGATGATGAAATGGGCGAAGAAGAGATGGACATGTCATTATATCAACAGTCTGTCGCCCTGGTGTTCGATCGCCTCAAGGAGGAATTCAAGGATGTACATTCTCTAACAATCGCTGACTATGCCTTCACAGATACCTTGCTCAGAGTCATGAATCAAACAGAAAAGGATGACTTTATGAAGATGTCCGGCATCAATAAGGAATACTTTGAATCAGGTGCCCATGATGTATTTGAAATTGGAATATCTGGCCAGGATATATTGGGACTCTTCTTTCAGATCGAGGGAACCACATCAAACACAAATCCCAAAACAGCATTTGAGTTGCTCAAGAAAGCCACTCATCAAGTTCTCAATGACATTAATACTTTCCGTACCATTTGTGGCAAATTCTCGATTTCATTTGTGAAACTTGCCGGTTTTGCTGCTTTTCCAAAGCTTAGAGAGTCAGATTTACAGAAACTGATCAAGTGCAGAGATTGTAGGGCTCGAATCCTCACATCAGAGGACCTAAAAGATCCAATTAGTTTCAAGAGGTTTTTGGCGAGACACAAAATCACTGTAAATACATCATGGAATCGGTATACTGACCATGTTGTCATGAATACTTTCAGAAACATATTCAATCTGTATGTTTGTGCAGCATCAATTGTGGACATGCCACGCAGCCCCACTCAGTTGTACACAATGAGTGAGAAGCATATGAAACTGATGTTGGTGATTCTTACTCCTCAACAAAGGGAATTAGTAAAGAGTGAATCGAATGTCATTCTTATGACTGGCACGAGTGGAACGGGCAAAACCTTCGTCCTAAAGAAAAGAGCCCTGCAGTTGGCGAAGAAAGATGAAGTGCTGGTCCTGAATATTTCGGGAGGAGATCTCACTGAGGATTTCCGGTATGTCTTCAAAGGTGAGACACAACTCTGTCGCTGAATTTGAGTTCGTCGTTTGCTATTCATTTCATTAATTTACGCTTAATTGGGTTCATCGAGTCTCTTCACTATTATTTTATCATTGGTAAGTGTCCCAAATTTCGTTCCAGATTTACTAATACCAAATTTCACTTTGGTCATAGGTAATTTCAGGAACTTCTGGAAATATTTCGGACAACCTGAAACCCCCTCTAAGTTGCAACTCGTTACACAAGGCACCTTAAATCGCTGAGAGAAACATTATGCTTTCAAAGTAATATTTATATGTGAAGGCCGCATTTCTCACTCCGCACACAACCTTAAATTCAAGAATTTTTGTAAAATTTTGCCTTTCATGAGAAGAATTGACGAGCTCGGATGCTAACCATGGTCGCTTTTATCCATTACCTAGCGAGTTTGTTTGCCCGAAGTACAAACAAACTCGCTATGGTCGGCGGCTTCGGCGCCCCATTACCTTGGATAGTGATTAGCTCATGTATTCTTTGCGAAATGGCAAACACGAATTTAACTTGCGTCCCCATTGAAATACGTGACATATGGGGACGAAAGTCTGGATTTTTATAAAAATCATTACTTCTATAATTTCTACTTTGGCTAACTAACTTGGAACCTTTTCATGTGTCCCTTTTTCTAAGGGTGGAGAATACATTTTGAAAAACTTCCCTCCTATAATCTACGCTAATGGGACATATTTCAAAAGTAGGATTTTTCCTGTACTCAGCCATCAAATAGGTACTTCTCAGGGAAGTTTCCATTTTATGTATCTGTTTCGTTGGATAAAAAAAAGTCAGGAAAAGGGGACTTTAAAAAAAGTGCCCTGATGTGTTATAACGAATTTTTTATTATTCTGAAATGTAGACTGAGGGAACTCCATGCCTTGCAGTTTCAGCCTTATACTGTACTTTACCCCTTTTTACTGGCGGTAAAAAATGTATTTGGAAAAGCGACCCACCCAAACCTGTGCTCTAAGGAGACGCACAACAAAAGTAGAATTTTTCATTAAATACGCCATTTCCAATATGTGTGCCTTGTGGCGTTTTAACCGAAAAGTACCTTTCTTCTTACCGAAATGAATCCTCAGAGAATTATATGCCCACAAAGTTTCAACCTTACACGCTTGCCCTTTTCACTGGTGAAAAACATGTTTGGAAAAGCCGACGCACCCAAAAGCTATGCCCGGAGGATATGCACCATGAAAGCTGAATACTCCCTCAACTCAATAATACAATGTCACTATGTCAAGTTTAAACCTTCTAGCACCCTCCGTTTCGCTGGATCGGAAAATTCAGGAAAATTTGCAAAATATGTGCCCTCGTGCGTTTTAACAGAAAAGTACCATTTCTACCTAAATCAAACCTCAGTGAACTAATTGCCCACAAAGTTTCAATATTATTATTCGTTTGCCCTTTTCGCTGGTGAAAAATCATGTTGGAAAAGCCGACCCACCCAAAAGCAATGCCCGGAGGGGATGCACCATGCAAGCTGAACACTCCCTCAACTGAATAATATCTTGTCACTTAAACGTGTGCCACGTTTCACCTTTCCATTTCTTTCCAATTCGCCACAACAATTTTTTTTTCAAAACATCGCCCCTAGAAAAAATTTCCCCAAGGGGTGTATCGAGACTTAACATTTCTATATAACTTCTTGTCTCAGTAGTTACATTCATGCAAACTTTCAGATTTCCATGTTCATCTGTGTAACTGATGCCAAAAAATTAGTTGAAAACGTCTCCCTTTGAAATATTGTGCCCCCAGGCATTTACTTCCAAAGTCTGAATTTTGTTGCAGCATCCCAATAGGCAGTTATGTACTAAGTTTCATCTTTCCACTCCAGAACAAAAAAAATGCTTGAAAACGTCGTCCCCAAAAATACCCCCCCATGCCATGGATCTAAAATTCTGCGAGGGACGATTCCAGAGAAAGAGAGAAGGGAACTTTCCTGCATCGTGCGAAAAGCGAGACCCTTACCTCCATCTAGTGGCGTGGCGAAGAACTTCAACATGTCCACTTCACTACGAGCGTTGAGGGAGCATTTGGTGAGTAATAAGAGAGCATAATTGAAAAGCTCACAGTAGTCTCACTTTTTACTCCCTAAACGCTCAGAATTTTCTGAATGTATCCACTGACTGTGACTCCAGAACTTCTCTCTTTCTCGCACGTCCAGTGGATCCCGCCTCAGAATAATTGAAACTTCCCTATTTTTCGGGGCATTTTGAGAACGACAACATGAAAAATAAAAATTTTATTGGAGCACAAACTCGATGCTGGAAACATACTCGAAGCATCGTCTTCGGAACTGGTTTTACTCGAAAAAGTATGAAAAATGATCATTAGCAGTAGTTAGGACAGCAACAACTTCCTAGCCGACAATGCCTCGTTGTGTCATTGTTGGTTGTGAGCAATTCGCCCGAGAAGGCATTCAGTACGATGTTTTTCTCATCGCCGAAATTAAGTCTCATAATGTGAAAAATATTAGTATTTTTCGAGCTCTCCACACTATAGTTATCACCACCAGGTTTCGAATGACAACTACAGTTTAAAACTGAGGCAGACAAAAACAAATTTGTAACTCTCAGTAATGAGATGGAGGGCGAGAGTACGGTTCCCGTCTGAAGAGACGAAACCATTCCCTTTTGTAACGACGAGTAACAATGAGTTCCACCGCATAGCATTCTTAAGGGACACGACTTTCAAGTTTCAAACAAACGTGCATTCGACTAATTATAAGGGGATGCGATTCGTCTATAGGGAAACCCCAATCGCTTGTACGCAAATCTTCAGAGTTCCGCTTTTTACCATTAAAGTGAGACAGATCGTTTTCATTTAAGAACGTCCAGGTAGAATAGGGGAAGATTTTGAGGTCGGCCGGGATGCGGATCGGCTCGATAGGACCGATAAGGCCCTTGCATCGGGCATGAAGGTCGATAACGAATCTAGTTTCCGCTCGAGTGCGAAAGAATGCCTAAATTGAGACCTCCAGTTTTGAAGTTGAAACGACAAAGGAGGCTTAGGGGTCCCGGCCACCAAGTTTCAGGTCGAGTGCGGGTCACGACGAGTGGGCACTTCTCCGGAAAGCTTTCGGTATTGTGCTATTCTTATTGGCCGAAAAGTGGCCACATCACATGAAAATGGGACGAATTTTTTTCTTTTGATCCAGGAGGTATCGTCTTTGGTCACATGCTTACGATTGGCATCTCACTCATGAAAATTCGTTCATCCGCCTATGAGGAGTTTTCCCGGAATGACACCCTGACAGACAGATTATCCTATTATGTACGAGGTATATGCCTATGGATGACATGGGGGGGGCATCGATTTCACAAAAACCCATCCCTAAGAAATACATTTTTTCCGGGGTATAGGGAAGTCATCATGAGTTTCAGAAATCTCGTTATGACTGTATTGCACAGTTTCCCATGCCAAAGGCGCGCCTAGTCACCCTATCTGCCTGCACAGAATGCCTTTCATTCTAAACAATTACACCCTAAAATGCGTCTCTGCGCAGATCTGCGAGGGTCCCTTCGTACCTCCCCCTTTGGGGCAAATATGTCAGGAGAGATCTGGCTTTCTCGAGCTTAGAGGCCTAAGCGGGATGCGGGCCGACCATATCAGCACAAGACGATCCATTGCCCGGAGCATGAAACCTTCCCGGGTCGGGTGCGGGCCACGATTCCAATCGGGTCGATCCGGTTTCAACTCGAAAAAGACAACTCGTGCAGGCTTCTGACGCGCAGAAAGACAGGAGAACCGCTAGAAAACACGTTCACAGCGTACTTTCTAGACTTTTTACCCAATTTGGTAAATCTCCTCCAGGCCCTAAGCTTTCGATTGACACCTCACTTATGAAAATCCGTTCATCCGGAGGAGTTTACCGGAATGACAAACAGGTTAGCCTCTTACGTATACGGATTTTCATCCTCCAGGTAATATCGACTATACATTCCAAAATCAGCATGAACATTCCGTCAAAATCCCATCAACATTTTCAATCTATTACCGATATTTAAGTCAAAATGAGCGCAGACTGGGACCCACAGGAGATTGGAGATATTAATATATTCATTTTTATCATAATCGCACTAATCCCATAATATGAAATGATTTAACTTTTTCTCATGACACCAATGGCTTCCTCTCTGAAAAATGTGTTGTGGCATATAGGCGTCATCTCCATCCAAGGCTGGTGGAGAAAAACTCTATTGTGTAAATGCCAGCGTCCATCCAAGTGGACTTTCCACAGCGAGGCCATCATAACAATTTATTTTAAATATACCTGCGTAGGAATAACAGAAGTATATTCGGGTGCATCCAAACTGAAACCTGAGAGCATAAGAGCTGACCATTTCTTTGATTAAGTACTGTATTTTGAGGAAACTGGGCCTAGCAAGCTGGCGCATTATCGCGCACTGCCACTACCGTAATTATTTCAGTTTTCCAGATTGTCTTGATTGAAACATTTTAAATATGCGGGAGTAAATATATTATAATTATTCCATGAAAGTGTGCAGCGGTTTCCTCTTTGAATTCTTGGAAACAAATCCGGTTTAAGTATTACTCTAAACGATGTCCGTGCATGTCGGAAGCCTGAAATGATTTTAATTTTTGTCCCAACAGATGCTAAGAAGGAAATCGAGGTTATCGATGGGAGAGAGGGGCGAGAGAAGGGCCTGGAAGAGGATCTTCAAGGTTTCAAGGAATTCCTGAAAGAGAAAGGAAGAGGAAAGCACGTCCTCATCGATGAAGTCCCCCTCACTCTAGGATTCCCGGATATCATCACCCCCAAAGCCCTTTCCGACCATTGGAATTGGATCGAAACCTTAGACGTGAAGTCCATCACTGTTTGCTTTCGACCCAATGACCAATCTTACACGAGAGATTTCCCCCTCGAAGAGGTCAAACCAGCAGGACATAGCATCACAGTTCTCGATAGTGTGAAGAGGAATACCAGAAAGATATCTGAATTGTTCATGGCCATCGGAAATTACTCCCGCCGCGTCTTCGTATCCTATTCGCCGTCCTTGAAGATAGACTCCGAGGAGATAGGCGGAGAATGCCTTCCTCGCTTCATCTCGATGACCTCGTGTCAGGCTCTTCATCGCAAATGTAAAGATGAAAGTATATGCGAGTGTGTACGGGCCTCTCATGTCATATATGAGGAATGCAGGAAGGCATCAGAGAAGAGGCCTGTCTTCGTCGTTGTTGATGAGATAAGGAGAAGAAATGCATTCCTCAACACATTTATGTCTTTATACCCTGAGTTCCCTGTTCTTTTTCTATGGCGGGGGGATTTCCATGGGAAGCCTCCCCCAGAGGGCTCGTTCCCACTCGTCGTCGTCACCGAAGAGGAGATGATAGGATGTCACCCTTTGAACGTGACGGTGGTCCTCGACTTCCCTCGGTCGCAGTGGGAAAACTACAATCGATTGATAGCCTCCACAAGAGAAAACAAGATCCTAGTGATCGAGGACGAAGCGTGGAGAACGGGCAAGTTTTCTCACGTCCCAACGGGAATAAAAGAAACACCTGGGTGGAAGATCGAGGATATAAATATTGATAAAGAAAGTCTCAATGCGAAATTGGAAAAAATATGGAAAGGACACGTGGAGGAGGACTTGGAAGACCTGGATGAGCGGAAATTCCCTAAGCAATCCTTCCCTAGAATAGAAATGGATTGGGATGATAGAGGGGAGGAGGATGCAGACGTGGCAAAGATGCTCGCATCTTCTCTCAGCGGGATATTCGGCTACCCAGCCTCGGGAAAATCTAGGAAAATAAACTTGTTGATTGGACGAGTGACAAGCCGAGTCCTCATTCTCAACTGCCGCGGAAAGTTGTCTCGCCTAGTCTACAGACAGCGATGGAAAGGAAAAGAAAATGTTGAGCTGGACGAGTTCTCTGCAGGGCATTTCGATTTTCCGAATTATTTATTCAAGAGAGTGGAAGAGAGGGAGAAAAATATGAAAGAAATGGAGAAAGGGAAGAAGAGAAAAAAGAAGGCAAAGGGGAGTAAGAAAACTGGAAAAGAGAAGGCAGAGGGAAAGAGGGAAGAGACAGGAGAGAAGACGGAGCCAGATCCGCTGGTCGTGGTAGTCGAAGACTGTTATTTCTTCGACCAGTTTCCAGAAAACACTGTTGAATTATTGAAAAAGATGAAGATGAAGCTCATCCTCGCCTTCGAACCCCATTCAACTGAGACTCCTGACATCTCAGTAGAACAAGTCGTAGAAATGTTGAATAAAAGGCTAGACTGCACAGCGATAGTGCTTCGGTCAGAACTGAGCAACCTGGCTCTCATGAGGCACATCCGAGAAAACGAGACTCCAATTGCTCTCGATTTGAAATCGAAGAACCTGTCCGTCTCTGCTCTTCCAGCTTCCATCGTCCCCGGCCCTCCCGTCGAATACGTGAACATAATCAAAGCAGAAAAATGCCCGGGACGACATCTGGGATATATCTGCAGCGGGAACAGCACATGTGGAATGACTGCGAATGCTTTATCTTCCCTCTTGCGATCGGAGCCCTTCGAATCGACGAACGAAGCTCCTCAAATCCTGGTATCGGAAGAATGGCTTTTGACGCCACTGCGAGAGAAAATGGATAAAACTTGGCCTCGTATACAAGTAAAACACATCAAGGACTTCCGTGGGTGTGAGGCTTCCACCGTCATCTCTTTCAACGTGAATGACGACTGGCTGCTGGAAGTGATCTCTCGCTCCAGGACTCGACTCGTCGTCATCGACGACCTCAGACGACATCAAAACTTATGGAAACAGATGAAGAAAGAAGGTCGTGTCGTCCCCATCTCCTGTCCCACGGACCCCGAAGACGACCTCAGGATCCTCCTGAGATTAGATGATCAAGAAATGTTCCTTGAAGTAAGACTCTTTCCTTCTCTCGTAACATGTGATCGTCCTTGCTCATTCTAAACGGAACTTTCCACCTATTGAAATTTTCCTAGTCGAGGTCTTCTTTCAAAGTATCCAAAATCAATAAAAGTAATCACATGTACGCAATAAGTTTTCTCGTGCGTTGTCATTACGTGTCTACGCGGTTTCACTCTTTTGCTTTCCCGTAAGTTCTTGCTTTCGTGGGCATTAGCGCATGCAGCTGCTTTCGGGCTTAATTGCGTTGAAAGTGAACTCACCAGAGTTCGAACGCGCTAACCCACTTGCGTGCACGCACGTGCGAAGGGGAAACTCCATGTGGAAACGTTGGTCGAATTGCACGGACCCTTTCATAAAGGTAAGCGTTGCGTTTCGTCTTCGCGTGACAGCCATCGTGCTCGCGCGATCTCTTTAATTCGGACGTACGTGTGCCGTGTAGCATTTCACTGCATGACGAAAGTCGCACGCGACACGTCAAGAAACGCGAATCGTGAATTCTTTAGGCTGGTGTATTAGTGAGAATCTTCTCTCGTTCCCGAGCCAACAGTTAGCCGCTTCGATGGGACCCTCAACTCGTCGAATCGCGATCGAACGAAAAAAAAAACTTTAGGAGAGATGAATATCGACGGTCATGTATCAGAACGTAGGTGAGTTTCCTCAAGAAATTAAAAGGTATGCCATCGTTCAGAAAGGAGTCCACTCCTGAATCACGCCAGCTCAGCTCTTCATATCGATCGCCTCAATGATTCACTGCATGCTGAGGATTTTTGCCTTCCACGACACGGACGAATCGTGAGATGTTTCACTTCTTGAGAACGTTCCCCATGTTGCAGCGTCCGACCTGGGATGAAGCAAGTATTCGAGTGGGAGAGAAAGCAATGCAAATCCTGGACAGGGACATCCTGGACAGGGACACGGGCGCCATTCGCTTCCTCCCTCCCGAGACATTAGCAGCCATCGACGAGAAACTTTCTCTGTCTTCTCCTTTCAGCGGTTGGGGATACGTGTGGTCTGGTAAGTGGAACATCTCCGAGAGTGATCATACTAATTACTTTTTAGGTTAACGTGTACGCACAGCTGGACCGAACACTTGGAGGAGGGAGTCTTTCTACTTCCGACTTCCACACCTCTTACCGAATTCAAGCGGCACTGTCATATTGTTACGGTTCCGCGTGCCTGGAGAAAACCTTTCCTACTAACTGGTGGTGGGAGTCGCAACACGATGGTCCGGTTATTGCGAGTCCGTTCATTCACGTGGCATGGATACATGATTGAAAAAAAAGAGGAAATGAACACCAAGAAATGACTTCAAAGTGGCCGCAAGGGTACTTTTACAAGTGAGCTGACGACACACTCCTGCAGGCATCACCAAACGGGACCCCACACGTTAAAGGAAACGGAGGAAAATCCCTTGGACCGTTAGACTCTCTGAGAGTTCTGAATTAGGATGCAAACATTCCGACGTCTTTAGTTCTGGTTACCGGTGCAAAATAGAGAGATGTGGCAGAGGATTAATGAAGGCGTTCATTATGAGAGCTTCCAGCCGAGGTAAAAGGTCGGAGGGCAAAAGTGACACCTACTGGTATGTGCTTGTACCAAGGCTTCCGAGAAACTGCTCACCGAGAGCACCTCCTCCGCCTCATCATCCCACATTTAATCCCGAACCTAAATTCAATTCTTTATCGGAGTCCAGAATGGCTTCGGGAAGATGATTCGCAAGGAGTTACCCCCTTATGAAAGAAACACAAAAGTGCTTCCTTAGTCCTTTGGAGGTTTCTCCTGTAATCCCTCACCTGTAATGTATAAATGGACATACTACTTCTCGAATTCCTGTCAAAATAGCCTACTTCAAAAGTCTCATCACAACTAGTAACATTACTGCATATTACTTTTCCTGTTAATGCCTTCATGAAATGTTTGTATCATAATAGGCAGCAATTAAAAAATCATAATATATATAATAATAGCTGACGACGTACTCCTGTCTGTGCGCCGGAAAGGCCGCTAAGGCCTCTAAACTTCGGAACTCCGGATCTCTGGGTTCGTCTTTTTTCTGAGCGGCTCTACCTGCTCTGCTGAGGCTTCCACCCGACGTCCCATGACGCCACATCGGTGTTGGCCTGTTCGGTGCTCTCACGGTTCGCTACGTTCCACTGGTAATTCCTGGCCCGAGAGCGACGTCATTTAATGACGCGATCGCATCGAGCGCTGACGGAACGAGGCTTCCTTATTGCCAGCAGCTGTAAACTGCTCGAGAAAAATACCCCTCTGGGTGTATTCCAACGTATTCTCCTGCACCCAACATGAAACGTGATTGCCAACCGATCCGCCGGTCCAGTCTGCCTGATGGAGTTCATCCCCAGTCCCTACGGAGTTCAAAATCATAATTCCAGTGAGACAAGTTTCACTCCGTCAGGTCGGGGGATCTCGCTAAATAATTATAGGCACTGGGGTTGAGGTTTTTTTTGGGTTCAAAATCAATTGGGAGCCTCTGAGGACAGAAGAATCTCACATTTTCCATCTCTTTATGAATGACCCTAAATTTGGCGGTTAAAAAAATCCAGCGAAATATCTCATTTGAATGCCATTCGAATAAATTCCATTAGCCACAATCGGACGTGAATATTTCACAGGTTACGTCTTCCTGTCTGTCCACCTGACGATTGCGCGTGACAACTTTACCGAAACCTACCCTTTCGGTCCGATTCGAATCGTGGTCCAACCAGACCCAAATCTCGATCGCCGGACCAAACTTTACAGGTCCCCTCCCACCCCTCTCTCCGCGTGTCTTGTCGGGCCGATCGCACCAACCCACAGCCCGCTTAGGTCTCTGAGTTTAGAACTCGAGGTCCTCGGTTCGTCCTCTTTCTAAGCGGCGCTGCTGACGCATCCGGTTCTCCCATGACGTCACGTTCTTCTTGATCATGGAGTGCATATAAACGCCCTATAAACGTCCTTGTTGGCCCTAAGACAGTTACGGCTTGTGCTATAGTTGCGCCATCCATCATCTCTTCACTGGGCGGCACTAACTGGGCAGCAGTAACTCATGTGAAACTAACGTAGCCAAGAAGATTCCAAAAACTGGCGTGAGAAGGAGTTAGTGTTCGCAGAAGCGGGTCACTTCCTGATTCGATTGAAATGAGTCCTCTGGACCTTAGACACTGTTCCCACTGTTCCGAGAGATGTAAAATGTTTTTTTTTGTGACCACAAATGTAAATTAAGAAAAGAAGGAATATGAGAAGGGAATGTAGTAATAGGTGCCACTCGATAACGGCATATGTATAACTCCTCTTGTAAGAAATCTTCTCATTCGAATCAAATATTGTCTTTCATAAGTGCGGAATGGAACTACAATGGAGCAGTTCTACGAGCGCCCTATTTTGACGCGATGATTGACACTGACCAAGTTCCGTGACGAATCGGTGAGACAGTCGAGATGTCACCTAGGGCCGAGCTGACAGTCTCTGATGAGCGCGTTACCTTCGAGGAAATTTAAAAAGCAATCCCTTTACATGCTGTACATAATCTTTCCTTGAATGCTCGCGAGACTTATCGGTCTACAGTTATCCGGATGACTCTTTTCGGCCTTATTGGTATGACGTTCGCTAGCTTCCCAATCGCTTGGCACATTTTCGCGAAAAAAAATTGCTTTCAAATTAAATTATTATCGGTGCCGAAATTTTGCTCGCGAGTTCTTTAACCATTTAATGCATGATTTTTTCTTCTTCGGCAAAAATAAATCTGGTAGGTTTCACTCACGTCCTAGAACACAGTTCAAGTGAAAAAAAACACATGCTTTAAACCAAAATTATAAGCTGTAGACCCGAAAATTGCCTAATAGGCCCGAAATTATTGCTCATTTGCTGCATTTTCAGCTTTCTAGCCCACACTGCATGGATGCTAGAGAGCTCAGTCTGTCAATCAGCATTCGTACATACTTCAACACGATGCTAAGAGATTCCTCTTTGCATTGCTAGCTAGCCGTTCCTCTCGCACCCATCTCGTTGACCATATTTACTGCTTTGACGCTCTCATGGCGGCCAAATATTCCTCAGTTCCCTCGGTTTCCGTGCGCCAATAAGAATCCCATTTTCGCTTCTCATCCCTGATGAGTGCCTTAAGTTTACCCGTAAACTAGACCGGCTGACTGAGCGATCTCTTGGATTTCTTGAGAATGCAGGCTTCCATAGAGCCTTGCAATATCGTCTTGAATACCTCCCACCCTCGCCCTCATTGCTCCTCCACCGTCAACCCATGCACCCTTCTCTCCCAATCGATGCCCCAACGCACTCGTGCAGCCAAGCAGAGTTAGCTTTCCTGTAGTGTTTTTCACTTGACTTTACATGATTTTTTATTTGACTCGGACACAAGGTGCCAGGTTTAAAGTAGTTAGTGATATCAAGAGGCGATTGCACCCATTTCGATATCACGTGTCGAGGTCGAGCGTTCCTTAATTTTAGGGTAAGTTTAATCCTCTTAAAGCTTAACATTTTTGCATTTGTGAGATTTTTTTGCTCATCCTAGTTGCTTACTGCCTAGTCCCTATCTTAAATATTGCCTCCACCTTTTGCCTCTCCATAAAAGCATCCAGTTCCTTCTTTAAAATAGTCACAGAAGAGGCAGCTACAACTTCGTCATCAAACGTATTTCACGCGTTCACCACTCCACAAGTATAGAATTCTTGTCTCGACCTGAGCCGCACCTGCGGTTTATGTAACTTTAGTTGAATACCTATCGTTCTGTTGCTGCCATCGAACTATAAAAACCTACCACACTCGACATTATCTATTCCTTTAATTACCTTGAAAGCCTGGATGAGATCACCCCTCCTTAACCTTCTCTCGAGCGAGTACAGTCCCAGCACTTCTAAACGCTTCTCGTACTGAAGTCCCCTGACCTCCTTAATCATTCTTGTGGCCCTCCTCTGTATTCCCTCGAGCGCCATCAATTCAATCTTATTTGTAGGCCTCCAAAACTGGATGCAATATTCCAACTAGGGTATTATCAGCGCTGCATACAACGGAAGAATAACGCGCGAAGTCCTACTTGCAACCAAGGATGAATTAAACCTAGAATCCTGTTGAAATAACGGTAAGTTTCTCGACACGTTCGGCGAGGTTAAATTGGGGGAGGCAAACGGAGAGGAAGATGGAGGAGTTTCTATGGAGGATGACCAAGTTTCCTCGCACGCACAAGCAAAGGTAGCTAAATGCGACACAAGTGCCTGGGACGGTACTCATGATTACGCGTCGAAATCAAGTGAAAAGTGACTCTAGGGAAAAACTCTGTATTTATGACACATTCGTCGTTCGGGATACACAAGTTATCCTGAAACATAACATCGAGCGCCAGATGTCCGTCGCTAAAATCAAATCCAATTAAGTTACTTTGCGAGTCGGTTCTTCAACATTCTGTACAAGGAGAGCATACTGAATTGCTGTGGAGTCCTCCTCCTGCCCTAGGTGAGGTAATGAGTAGAGGGGAAGAGTCCCTGAGTTCCTACGCTGAATGGCCATAGCGGACCACTCACTCCTTCGTCCCGTCCCATCGCAGCAGTCCGTCCTGAACCCTCGGCCAGAAACACGTGGGCGCGTGAATGTGCCAGGAACCTCGGGTCGGACAACACGTGGCGTTTCGAGCCACGCATCCTGACCCCCACAGCCGGTCAACACAGTGTACCGCGGTGTGAGCTCCCAACTGCGAGCCGGTCAGCATAGCGAACTGCCGTGTACTCATCTCGATCCGACTACCTGTACCGCGGTCGGCGGACAGGAACCAACGTATTCGATCGTCTACGTATCAGGACGTAGTGCGTGCGAGTCCCCCGTACGAACGTGAGACTGCATCTTCCCTGTATCCCTCCTTCCGTTCTTTCCCCCATTGATGATCCTAATAAATTGTGCACAGTTGTTAATGTTGATCTAAGGACGTACCTTCCTTCCTACTTCGAGTCAGCGGAGTTAAGAGATTCACTCCCATGCTAAATTACCATCTATAAGAACAGCAACCTTCTTGATTATCATCCGACCACATTAAGTCTGATCCCCCACACTCAGAGAAATCGGTAAATCGAGATGAAATACTTCTCTCAATTTTCGCGTTTCGATTTATTTTTCTCAAGAGAAAAAGACCAACTAGATTTTCCATTTGTATCTCTCGCTTCCCGATCGTGCAGGGTCGCCTGAAAGACGTTCGCAAAACCAAAATGCGTCTATAACCGAGTCGAAAGGGTGTTTTGAGTGGCTGCGCATCGTCTAGAAACATGTTAACCTCCGTATTCCACTTCATCGTGAAGAGGAAACCCCCTCCCCCTCCCTCCCCCCATGAACCCTCGGGGCAATGCATTGACAGTCGAGGGATTCACACGCAACCGACTGCGTGCATGGCCACTTCGCCACTTCACCTTCCCTCCGACCCATGCGAGTGGCTCGTGCGTCTCGAAGGGATTCCCATGTTACGGCTTACTTCATTCTTCGAGTCCAGTTTCATACGGTGTTTGTATTCCGTTTGGTGCGTTGGTGGTGCAACACGTATCGCCAATATGAGATCCGACTGTTAACTATGGATATTTAACAGTCCTTTAAGAATACATGGATTCCTATGGGAGAAAAAGAGCTCCTTCGCTAAAAACCCCGTTGTCTCCCTTAAATGAGGTTCGTGTATTCGGGCTTCATGCTTAAAAGCCACTATATTCCCACAATAGGACACGCAGGGCAAATTCGATGTGGCTGAAGTTAATCACGAAATGTTCAATGCGGTTAAAGCGCATAATATACCTGACCTATACATGCAGAATCAAATTAATGCATTTTCGTCGAGAAAAAATTGTCCTCCATGTGATGCGTTTTTATCGCATCAAACATTTGACACGATAACCGCATCAAAAATTCGAGGCGATGAAGACGCATCACATGCAGGACAGATTTTTTCGGGAAAAAATGCATCGAACTGAGGCACTGAATTGTATGCATATGTAGTGAGGCATTCTTGCCTCATATCTTGTGATCCCCTGGGGTTCGTTACATTGCAAAGAGAAATTCCATATCCCTTTCACTTCGCCCTCGCGGTACTGTCCAGTCTATATTTAGGAATGTTTGTCAGTGAAGAAAAAAATACCTTGTCATCATGCCACCTTTTTCTTTTTTTCCTTTCCGATTACATTCACTCTCGTCCCTTATAACAGGTTTGGAAGGAGAAGTGCCTGCAGTTGATATAGAAAAGAGTGAGAAAATCCTCAAAGTTCTCAAGCAGAATGGAGTGGAGTGGCATGAGAGGTACCCCCCTGTGGCCCTGAAGACAAGGACTGGGAGTGGTGCGGCAGGATTCTTGGAGACCATGTCTCTCTTGCTCACAGGATCCCTCCTCCACTTTCCACTTCTCAAGGTCTCTTTCTACTCATCGTTCCTTCCGTTTATTCTCCCGTCCTATATCTCCATTCTTTTTCTCCCAGCAATTGTAAATACACAGCTATACTGTGGCTCTTTCCATTCCAGGTCATTCTTGGTCCATTTCAAACAATAGAAACCGAATTCCAAGGCAATTATGTATCAAAATATTCAAGGATATCTTTTGCTTGAGTCATTATAATGGTCTTCACTTTCACATTTTTAAATTATCTTCTTTAAGGTACATCATGTTTTCCTAAGAGGGATTCATGCTAACAAGGAAGAAACCTCAACTCTGACAATTTTCTTGCTTTATCAATAGATGGCATTGAGATCCATCAGAAGGTTTGCATTTGAGTACCTTCATTTTCCTATGAGAGAAGCATTTGCAGCAGGAACTCTGAATTTATTTTGGCACTAAATATGCTCTGTAAATGAAAATACTGCTCAGGAAAGTCCATTCAATGGGGAGAAAATTTTGATATCAGGTAAAAAGGAAACATGTTTAAATCTGTGGCATTTGCTGGAGTTCAAGAGGCAACAGACACCACAACAAAAATTTTTAGATTCTAAATATCCTCTGAACCTCATAATGTTCCTGTCCTTATTCTTATTGAATGGTACAGAAACAGAGAAACTGATTAGTATACACAGTGCATATGAAATATCAGGCTTAAACATCTGGTCACTTATCCATAAATATCCCACATAGCACAGTAACATCCCGGGGATGATCCCAAGTAAGACACATTCTCCCAAGGCTGCCATGTGCCATCCTAGCATCTTCAGTCTAACAGTTTCCCATGCACTTCAGGAGGATGTCTTTGGGAGAACTAGGGAACTTTTTAGACATCTACAGTTATATTCTTCTTAAAATCCAAAAGTGATTCATTCAAGACTAAGTGTGTCAAACACTTCTCAATATGCCCAAAAGGATGTCCTCCATACATATTTGATCAACTTCTTATGGATAACCAGGAACAGAATCAATATCGGTAGACCACTATTTCAATGTTAAAAGGTGCCCAACTGATGATATGATCAGGGTGTCATCTGCAGATGAAGGGAAATGGGGGCAGTTCCTGGGATATCAGCATGGTTTGAGGGATCTATTCACTAATTGTGCATGGAAGACATGAATAACAGGTGCATAATTTCAACATGAAATGTCTCCCACTTGTCCTCATCTCCCAAGTTAGATCCATTCTATCAATTTGTTCTACTTCATTTGTACAGAAGATTAGCAATGATTATAGTACTGTGAACCAGGAAAAGTTACCTTAAGGAGAGTGAACATTTTGAGGTCCTCATTTTAATTTAGGTATATCGTCAATATTAGGAAGTATCTCCTCTCTTGGGGTTTTTCAAGTTGTGGACAATCATTACCATTACTTTCCAATAGGTCAATGTCAATAACTTTCAAAGTGCTACGAGGTCAAATATAAATTTGTCAGAACTTAGAGCATTGCTATGCATGTAAGGGAGTGAATCTGCTTCAGAAAGAAAGGAACATCCTTCAGAAGTCCATATACCCTGATTTTTTCATATCCCAACAAATAATACCTAGGACTCACTTTTTCTAAAGGGATATCTGACAGAATTCCTTGGGGTGTACAAGGTGTCCCATAAATAGGTACCCCATTTTTATTTCTGAACACAAACACAACTTTCCATTTGAAACTTATATGGAACAGGTTGAGTAATCTTTAAAGCTTTACTTAGTTCTAAGCATGTCCAGCTTCTCTTCCATTTAATATGCCATACAATTTACACATCACACCCTGCATTTTCCATGCATTTTCTTATATGCAACATCAAATTCTCAAGAATGTGAAAAAAAAACTCCATTTGGATATTATTGAACACTTCACATATCTTTCATTCCAGTTGTTCAAAATCACATGGATTTGATACATGCACATTCTCTTTGGCTCATTCCCATGTGAGAAAGTCACAAGTGGTTAGATCTGGGCTTCTGGCAGGCTACAACCTTCATCCTCACCAGAATTTTCAGGAGTTTCGGGTGCTGACAGTCTTCCACTCTGCATGGTATCTTTAACTGAACTGGCTGTTATCAAATAGTTCAGGCAGTTTTTGAGCGTCTTAGGATCAAGAGTTGCGTGCCTTTCTCTTTCCTTCAACCACCATCTCTGAACCTCCACCACAGACCTCACAGCCTCTTACCCCAATGCAATTTTAACATGGCCATGGCAGTTAGCCTCCACACTAAGTTTAGCCAACAATGGAAACAATGATATATGAATTACTCTAAAGCCAAATCTAACTGAATACTCAAGCATCAAAGTCTAATCTTAGATTCCAGAACTTGCAGAATGCCTTCCAAGGGTTGTTATTTACTTCATGTGAAGAAAAGTAACCACCCACTCAAGTGAATATCAGTCATGTGTTAAGAACCTATTGGGAAATTCAGCCTTCAGAAGCCAGGAGCACTGAAAATGATTGTCTTTGGTCCCAACGTTAAAGAAAACACCCAACAGAAACTAACTCCGTGATTCTGACTGGAACGTTAAAGAAAATTCGACAAAGATATTGACACCATTAGGCATCATTGAGCTGGAAAGGGTTAATCAGTGATGATTAATAAACATCAATGCAGCAGGAAGCAATACCTGAATCCATCCAGAGTTTATAACAGCTAGAATAAAGCCATTGGAGTTACTTTGAAAAATTTAGAGACCATAATTGTCTCACCCCAAGCAGGACATTTTAGGAGAGGGAGATCCCAAGGACCCACTCCCTCTAATCCAACGTGCAGCAGATCACCTGAAGAGGGCCATTATTCTCATTGGAGAAAGAACTTCTTGTGAGCACCACATTTCATTCCTTCTCTATATCTTTCCTTGGAGCTGTTGCATGGAAACATAAAGAGTAAGTCATAAGTAACCTTCAAAGTTTGAAGCCTCACAACTGAATATGAAGGGAAGTTGTGTTTTTTTAATTATATCAGCTTTTAGAGCCCTGTAACACTGTAGAGCAGAAACGCCTGAATATCTAAGAATACTTCAAATTTGCTTTACCTAACAAGATAGAGCAAATGAGCATTTTGATAACATTGGTTACTACATTCAGCAATGTTTCACACAACTCAAGTCAAATATTGCCATTACCATCAAATGAAGCATGAGAATGTTTGGAGGTATAAGACATATTTGGAATCAGTAACTTGATTCATATATCAGATGCACTTAAAAAAATTTTTCTACAGTTTTCCTGTATCTCATACTTGGGGAAAAAATGCTTTTCTCCAAAAAAATATAAAAAATACTTGTAATTCACTTGTCATTTATTGAGATCGAAACAGTGCCTGCAGTCAATTGAAACAGAAGAGATAAAAAAACAAGCTACATAGAGAATAAATCATTTCTCATGGAAATTTCTGGGCCACTGCAGTCTTCCTATGGGAGATCCTTCTTGCCTGCATGTTCCTGTGAAAAGCAATGAGAATTTGTATTGCCAGGTTTAATCCCTTCTCCTTAATCCATTTGTCCATGGAACTTTCCCTGATGTCATATCTACAATCTATTGCATGGATGCCCAATTCCTTAGCCTCCTTCTAGCTTGGACTTATTTCATGTTGTGAAACTTCACATACATTCCCATCCATTTTAATGGATTATGAAACTAATGTTAGACACCATGGTGAGATATAGTGAGAATATGTGCTATCATTAAAGGTCATGGCAGTGAATCAGAAAGTAGGTTTGGCCAACTTCATTTCCAACTATCCACCTTTCTCACTTACCTTGTCCCCAAAGACTTCATGCAATGAAAAGTGGGAGTATGTCTAATACACAGGGAATCTATTTTACATGAATTTAGGGATCAAAAGTGGGGGTGCACCATATACATAGTAGCACACCATACTCAAGTAAATACACTGCTCACAAAAATTAGGGGATAGATCAAAATGAATATGAAGCGACAAAAAAAAGAAGCATTTGATTTTTTTTATTAAACAAGAACATCAGAAAAGCAAACGACAAGTCAAAGAAAGTTGTTCGATTATGCAAATGAGATGCAAACTCAGTTATCGTGATTGAGAGCAAGTGACATATTGGTGGGGGTGAACAGAAGCATGTCAAACTGGACGAGAGTGCTACACATTGACTGTTCAGTAGGGTGTATGATCACCCAAGACTGCCAAAACACACTGACAGCGATGGGGCATGGACAGGATCAGATTGTCCAGCAGTTCTTGTGGGCTTTGCATTCGGGCAAATCATGTTGCAGGGGCATTGCAAGGGCTGGGAAATTGCAGGATATGCACTTTCAAGATCAGGGAACGTGCAGATACTCCAGTACTTTCAGTCTTTTGTATAGTGCATTTTCCCCAATGAAATAAAAGTTGGTTTTGCTTCTCATTTGCATAATCGAACAACTTTCTTTGACTTGTCGTTTGCTTTTCTGATGTTCTTGTTTAATCAAAAAAATCTAATACTTCTTTTTCTTATCGCTTCATATTCATCTTGAAATATCCCCTAATTTTTGTGAGCAGTGTATGATAATCTGCTTTTAGGGGAACGGACATTGCGATGGGTGTAATAAGGGAATACCACCTGGAGAATTAAGTTCCAAACTAGTTTTGTGATATATCTTGTCTCCATTCTTTCACCTCTGCTGTCTACTATCTATGGGTTGCTTGTAAAAACTAGATCTTTTGATGTTCTTAATGCTTCTTTTTGGTTCATTTTGAGTTAACAACTGAAGGACTATAACTCTATTCTCCAAGTAGTAAAGTCCTTATTGCACCAATTATATAGCATACAATTGCATTACAAAACAGGTCATTGAAGCCATTGCCATATGAGCCACTATGTCAGTGCACCTACTTCCAACTCTGCTACCCAAATTGTATCAATATGCTAATTTGAGTTGATTCATGCAAATTTATTAAAACTTTGCATAGCCTAATAAACATTATTGTCAAATTTAATACAAATCCTACTATCTACCTTGAAGATGAGTACATGAAGACAGAGAACTTTCATGTCTTGATATGAAAAAAGTTAGTTTTTGTGATTCATGCCATATCATTTTCTATTCCAACCCCTGAAAGTCACACTCAAGCATACTCTTTTGAAAGCAGCATGAAAAGGATGCACATGCCCTTCCAACATCAGTAGTCATGATACATCAAATTTAGTGGGCTGCTAGTAATTACCCCAACATGAATGTGCACATGCCTTTTGAGGACCTATCTTCCTACTCAATGATTTCAAAGTTATATAGCATAATTCTGACTCATTGTGCTATTTTGGGATGCTATCACTTAAGTATGAGATGAACATTGGTGAAAATTACCCTTGGAATTAAACATGTCAAGATAAAGCAAAAGAAATAAATCTACACCTGGTCTCTTTTTCTTTTTCCCTTTCTGTTTTCTGACTACATATCTGTTAGCAGATGCCTCAACACAAGAAAAACTTTCCTCAGTTCTCATGGTGCTAACATCAGGAAAATTCTCACTTCAGGAATATTTCTTCTCAGGGAGTATTGTTCCAGTAATTGTTCACAATTTGCTATATTTGCAGGGAATTCAAAGAAGGCTGATTGATTTCAGGGAAAACCTGACTTCTGAGAAGATAGCAAAAAAAAAAACCACCCCCCTCACAAATATATAGGTGCCCCACCTATATATATTCAACATTTGTGAGGGGGGTAATTTTTTTACAATTTTTTTTTTTACTAGAGCTGAAAAGTTATTGCTAGCATATCACAAAGGATCCAATAAAATGAAAATCCGCAGGGCATCTTTGGAAGAAAACAATCCATCCTCATACCACAAGAAACACTGAAAATTGCAAAGTGCAATTGAAAAGTGCAATTTCTCATGAAGGTAGTAATTGCTTCCAGTCCCTTCATCTGATGCTGAGTCCCTTGTGGGGTTTTCTTTTGGGTGGGAGAGTGCTTTAACAAAAGGGAATAAAATTGGAACTAAAATGAGACTTATGGTTGACATAGAGGCACTGTTAGGGACTGCGGTAGATTAAGGTGCCATTAGGCAATGGATCCAAACAACCTCAATCTTTCTTTAGCCAGAAGTCACATGTTGAAATCAAGAATCCTTTCTCAAAATTGTGCAAATTTTAACTGAGATACTTCAGCAAAGAAAAATATTATTTAATGCAGTCAACTGCAGTTTGTTTTTAGAGAAGTCCTATGATTGAAGTAAATAGGTATCATTATTAAATTTTCTATGAGTATATCAAATTTCATGACTTCATTTAAAAGCTGAAAGCGCCGAATGTGTTATTTTATAACACCAATGTTGCCCCCTGAATAACTTACAATGACTTGTGCCAAAGGTGCTAGTTTTGCAGCTTTGTTTTCCAAAGGTCAAGCAAATCTGCCAGATTGAAAAGCAGCTTCACCTTTCAGAGAAACAAACCTATGCCAATTTTCCTAGCTTTGACCCTCTGGATTCCTAAGATAAGGCATCAATAACTTGTAATCTTTGTGGGCAACCTTGATTCCCTCTGGTATAAACTGCTTAACATCCCAGGGAATATTCATACTTTACAAGCTCATCTGAAAACTTGATGAATATTCCCATTAATTATTGAAGCCATCAAAAAAAGATACAAATCAATTAATGAGGTTCAATGACATTCTCCTTAGCATTCATACAAAACCCCATGTTTTGATCTGTATTTTCCAAGATAATGTATGCTCAGTTGGTCAAACAATTCAGAAGAATTTTCAATTGTACCTTCTATGGTTTGTGAAAAACAATTTTTATTAAAGACTTGAAACTTGAAATATTTACTGTGACAAGTTATCCATACCTTCGGAAAAGTTGTCCAATTAAGGGAAATAAATAAAGACATCCCTTGGATGTCTCTGTGTTATATGTGTATTCATGAGTCAAATGTGAAAACAGCATGCAGACACAGTTGGCATGGTCTCCGCCTGGCAGCACAAGCAGAAGCTAGGAATGGAAAGGGATCACTTTGAGACTCTCTTTAAATAGAGGGCTAATATTGGGAATCCTTTGCAAAAATTCATGACAGGTGTATAAGTATGCATTCCAGTTCTAAAGTAAGAAACCCTGTTTCTTAGCCCTGTTAATTTAAAATAGTGAATTGCAAGCTACAATAGCAAATGAATTATGCAGATAGGCTCTGCCAGCACCCCACTGAAATAACACAGCTTGCACTTTTGCCAATACTTGTGACTGGAACAATCTTCACAAAATATATTAAACATGGGAAGACCTCAATAACATCACAAATGATTTTGAAGCATATAGGTTTGTGAATCTTGGCGAAATATGACATCAAAAACCTTATTTTTAGCCAATCATCTTGCATTATTTGTAGTCTTTTTAGCTACAGAATGTGAGACTCTCACTTATCAAGCAGAACTCTAGCATGTGGTTTCAATCATCACAAATATTTACATGTGAACCCTATCATACCTCAACCTCTTCAAAAATGTACATTAATGAAAAATTGCAGTTCACCTAAATCAGATGGAACATAGCTAAAAGTCATTGTATGAGGTACTTGGTTACACATTACCTTCAAGATTTCAAGAAGTCTTCTGTAGTTGTCACATCTGAAGTAGATGGTATGACGTTTGGCTTTGGGTTCACCAGTATGGCAGCTTCGCAGCTACCGCTTGTCCAATATTAGAGAGAAAATAATACTCCTTCCTCATTCAGCAACCCATAACTTTGCATACTTCTTGTTTAAAAGTTTCCTGTGGAAAGCATGTATCAAAATTGTTTAAGTTTCACCCACTTAAAGAACATTTATTTCATCGCATATACCAAGGCCAGAATCCAGCCCGTTGCAGTTCAGAGACACGATGCAGAGTACGCTGTTATCATCCAATGGAATGAGTTCCATCCAATGCATCAATAATATATAAATGTGGGAGGCCATCACAGGGTAAAGCAGAGATAAGATTGGGAGGGGGTCCCAACTGAGATTTGCAATTGAGCATCAAGTAAGATGATGCATGGACTCATTATTCAGAGTCTCTCATGAATGTAGAAACTTTGTGGAGCGGAGCTCAAAGATGATAAAGACAGTGACTTGTTGGGGAAGAATGAAGAAGTGAGAAAGTACATCCTCACATCTAGAAGGGAAGCAGAAAGGAGGATGAACCTCCAAATGAGGGTAAACTTTGTTCCTGGAAACATTACCCATCTTACGTGCATGAAATATAAAGGGAAAAGAAAAAGCATAGGTGGAGAGGAAAAAGTAAGGTATAACAGAAAGGGCAATCAAGGTGGTGCAGGCAGTGAGTGCAAGGGATAGAAGTCAAAACTCCATGGTGACTCTTGGGGACACAGGAGGATGAGCAGGTGGGAGGACAAAGGAGTATGGGAAGGAAAACATACCAGAGAAAATAGTGAGTGAAAATAATATGGTAGGATGATGATAAAAAAGCAGGCTGGGCAAGCACAAACAACAAATGGGACTCCTTTCAGTGAAGGGGATCCTCATTTTCACTTTTAATTGAAAAAATTGCATCTATTTCCAATCCATGACCATCACAAATCTCATTTCCAAGTTAGAATTGGTAAACACAGACATACGGTGCCCATGAAATGATGGGAGGGTGGAAGGATGTGCATTACGCAACCATTTACAGGTGCTAGCTCCCACTCCGGTTGTCTAGTGGGATCCATCCACCGAGAAGATTGATGCGGAACTGACAGCTCTGGGTGCTGACACAACACTGGAACCAAGGCCTGGGTTGTATGTGCATGTGCCTTGAGGTCTACATCCTGAAGGGCTCACAGGTATTTATGCCTTCCCCTCTGTGAGGAAATTTAAAAACCAAAATTTGCACTGAAAATGCAAATTTTTATGCAAATTCAGCAAAACAAACCCAGCCTGCATATTTTCCATACCTACTAGCTTACCAATTTTCAATTTGATCGGGCTAATATTTTCTTGATCGTCGTCAGACAACTGGGACAGACAAGACAAAACCATGAATGGCCTCCTTCCTTTCAGGGAAAGATGCCCACTAAAAGGGAAAAAGCCCAACATTTCTGAGGGGTCTACATCCAACTTTTAAAAGGTTGCACATAAATATTCCAGAGATAGCCTGAACCCTTTCCACCTTTCTTTTTTCAGAACCAAAATTATCAGTAAAGTGGGAAGAGCAAAAAATTGTGAAGGGAGGGGAGACACATTATTCATAGGCATCTGATTTGGTATTCTGCCACCATTAGTTTTCCAGAAAGTGAAACAGACACAACTTTGCCTTCATTCCCGAAAAAGTCACTGCATGCCCACCATTGCCATCCAGGAACACTATCATCCCACTTACCATGACATTATGCCAAATCCACATGATAAAAGAAACAGAACAGAATGAGTATCAGATTTGTATTCTTTTTCCAGAAAATGGAAGCCAAAATCATTGAAGAGACAGGCACATCCTTAATGAGACAGATCCAAAACCTATCAGCTTAAGTCCCTTTTTATGCTTAAGTACAAAAGAATGAAAATAAAAATCATAGTAGTTGATTCTACAAGTGCCTGTTGAAGTGTTTCACCAAGTGACACACAACAAGAGTGAAAAGACAGTCTCTTGTCTTCAGGACAAGACTGCTTCCTTCAAACCCATTCAGTACACTGGCACTCCAGGACCCTACCTTGTCACCTGAAAGGAGTCATCTGATATCTTGGAAAATATATTGACAACATTTAAGAAAGAACTCTGCAAGTGTGAGCATCATACGCATTCATGAATGCAAGGAATCAGAGTGAAGTCCTTAGTTCAATGCTGGCTCCCATTATTGGTTCCCTAATAAAGGATTCTAGTCAGGAATGTTTTGAGTTAATACATTCCTCACCCTGCAGAAGGGCTACAGGAGATAATTTAGATTCTGTCAAGGTCTACACTTGTACTACTAAGCCTATCAAAACAAGCATCACATTTTGTCTAAAGTCAGAGTTGCAGGGACCTATAGTATAGAAAAGCAGAGTAAAAACAGTAGTCTAAGTGAATGAAGGAGAAAACATCTTACTGATTAAGGAGCACCATAAAGAGGTAATGAAATGTAAACCTATGCCACAGTTTTTTTTTATTTTCTACAAAGATAAATCACCAGCATAATCCTAAGAACAGAACAGATGAACCATGTAGGAATGAAGAAAACTGCAGAGTTTATAAAACATCCTTCTCTGCATCAACTCATTGAACAGTTGACTTTCTACTGGAAACGCACATGAGCAAGCGTCACGGCATTAGAGTCAATACTCACGTGAACCTTGAATAAAAATGACTCAAATGTGCGTAGCATGGAAGACTCCTTTCAGGAATATAAGGCTACCATGTCCATGCAAGCATTAGGCCAAGCAGAAGCCCCAAATTGGCCTTACTCTAGCCCCTTCATGTGATTTTCAACAGACCAAGAGCAGTATTATATTTAAATCGTAAAGAAAGCAAAATGCTCAACCTCAGACATGAATTTCAACAGGGCAAATACCAGCAAAGCACCATGTTAAAAGGGAAATGGCATTCAAATCAATAATAGAATATGGCCCCAGGTGACCAGACTCCCTAAAGTAGCTGGCAGAGGTACTGTAACGCAGGCGTGGTTGTCCGTTTCTGCAGACAACCACCTGCACTGGGTCCGTTTCAGGCGTTTGGAATAAGGCAACAAGAAGACAGGAAAATAAAGTTCCTCTATTCCAACATCACATCACAGTAACTATAGGGAGTGCTCAGGAATTGACTTCTGACAGTTCAGGTACCGGCAACAGGCGCTCGGCCTTCTACAAAATCACTTAAACCCTATCAACAAGATGTGGCGCTCGGCCTTCTACATAAAATTCAGCAGTTTTTCAGCGCTCGGCCATCTACAGAGGATTCAATAGTTACTCGGCGCTCGGCCATCCACAAAGAATTCAAACAGTTACTCGGCGCTCGGCCATCCACAAGAATTCAAACAGTTAGCCATACCGATGGAAATGCAACAAAGAAGAGGAGGGTCCTTTCGGGAGGAATCCCAGATGCGGGGAGCGAAGGAGGGTCAGTTGCAGGCAAGAACAGGAGGGTCAGATGCGATGGCAGAGAACAGCAGGACGAGAACAGTCGTGCCCGAATAGGGGACCAGCAAAAGCAGCGATCCAAAAGAGAACCGGAAGACGACTGCCCCGCCAACAGGACGTCTTTCTGCGACGCAGATTGTAAAGCAGGGATGCTTGACCCTATTTTGAAATGTTCATACGACTGCACGTGCAAGCCTATTCAAAAGGAGTGACATTCAGCCTACAACACTGGAATGCACCCTCTGACCCTTGCGGCATCAGCTCATATGAAAAACCCGACAGGACATCTTCTGCTAGAGGTGTTACAGTACGCCACGTACTATGATAGCACTAAACAGCCCAACACGAACGTGACTTCATGGGATAGCTGGAAGCCTCAGCAGAGGCGATAGAGCCGCTTGAAAAAGGACGAAACTGTGTTCTGAAGCTTAGAGGCCTGAGCGGGCTGCGGGCCGGCCTGATCGGCCCAACACGACCTGTAGGTGGGGTTGCAAAGCTAGGTCTGGCGATCGAGTTTCGGTTCAGTAGGACCAGACTCAATGGAATCCCACTACATCTATCGATCACTGCTAACCAGCTTTCCATTCTCAGATCATCTCATGAACTCGACACAAAAATGTCTCATACATTAGAAAACAGACGATCCAGACGTCACAACGAAGGTTCAAGCACTCTTGAATCCGGCATAATTTCATCAATTCGGCAAGATATCCGGCAGCACTGGGAGATGGACGGAGCCAGAACTCTACGCTTAAATGGACACAGCCAATTTCATTTTTTTTTTAATGGGGAAATGGTCCATCACAAACATGGAAAAGGGTAGTTTCATCATCTATGAGTCAATATCTTTATTATGGTTGGTCTCTTTCCTCCAACCCCCTTCTCCCTTCCCAGGAGTGGCTACCAAGGGGGAGGAAAGAAAGATGGAATGAAATTCACATCTTCAAAAAAAATTGCTCTTCGCGACCCGAGGAAGATGGAGCTTCAAATTTGCTGGAGATATTTTGTGTAAAGAGAGGAAGAAACTTGGCCAGTTTCTTTTCTGTTGATGCTCTCAGAGAGGAATATGAGTAGTTTAAATTTTGCTATGCAAAGGGGGTGAAGAAAGGTATTAGGTGCTACCTCGTCTATTAGTATCGAAGAGAGATATCCGAGCTTGCAAAAGTATCCTCGCTCGCACCCTAAGATGAAGGTACTATCATTCCCAAATGAGGAACGATAGTACTTCCGATTACAATAATTGGTGATCCGATTGCCTATGACCCCAATCAAAGGAATAGAGTTTACTTGAGAAAAATGGAAGCATTTCATCTCTTTGGGAATATTAAATTCATGTTTTGGATGAACGTTCCAGGAACGCATGATTTGACGTGTTTTTGATTGCTCTAAATTTTAGACAGTTGAACAGTCAAGGAACGTTCCCAAGGGCGTTCATAGAACGTTAGCAACGCCTTGAATGGGACGTTCATTGAACATTCATTAAAAGCTCTGGTGCTACTTGGAACTGGATCATCTGACATTCTCTCCAGTGACATCTACATACGCTCTATGGTAATGACAACTACCAGTTATTCCAAACAGCCAAGAGATGGCACTGTTTTCTACCTGCGATGAATACCCAAGTAACTCAAGATATTCCAACAACGTTTAGGAAATGTTGATGAACATTGTTGCTTCTATGTGTAAATGTCCGAAACGTCGACGTTGCTCAAATGATGAGAAAGAGCATTGCATTGGCGTTGCAAATCGTTACTCATTCATTATGTATACGTTGCAGAAGCGTTTCAGAACTTATGTTGCTGCAATGATGATGGAAAACTGGAATCTTCACTGGAATCTAATCTGGACCTATATTGGCATTACTACCTGGGAAAGCATTGGCTTTACTGGCTCTGAACTTGACCGATATTCTGCTAATGTCGAATAATTGATTTCATAATTTCGAAACATATACTATACCTCACTGCCCACACGTTCCATAAACAGAACGAAGCCTGTACTGGTAAAACCCCTACCCATGCATAATACAGTATCTTTATCATGTATAGGCTGGAGACATTGTACATTTATTGAGGTAATCTCCCCTTGGATGTGCTAAATTCGGCAATTTTCAGGGATAAGTTCACCGACCATGTTCTATGGAGTGTCCCAAGAAATTCAGTTCTTTTCCTCATCTTGTTCTCCAGATGAGGAAACGAAGAACTGAGATAACAGACTCTCCACAATCGCTTTTAATTTCCTGTAGGACGTAATCGATGAGTTCTAGGAAAGGGTTCTTAGTGGGAATATGAGCTTCTTTTTTACCTTGGCCCCAAGAATCTGTCTCAAATATGAGGATAACAAGTGGTTAAGTGTCTGTATTCAATGATTCCAATGAGACAATGCGAGACATTTGGCAAGACACTAAAAACCCTTGTGCAGGACGATTCCAGGAAGTGGGAGAAAGGCACTTTCATGCACTGTTCGAAAAGCGAGACCTACATTTCCATCTCGTGGCACCTTACAATTCCCTAAGACTTTTAAGTCCATGTTGTATCAGAATGTTGTCACTACGTTGTAGATGTCAAGGGGTCAACATTCTCTCAATGTTGACAGCAAATGTAATAACATTAATAGAAGTGTCACAGCAATATTCCAAGTGAAAACGTTGAAGCAATGTTTCATCAATGTTGTACATCAACTTGCAACGTTAAGAATTTCCTAAATGTTGCATAAGTTGCTCTATCAGCATACTGTGTTACTTGGGAAGGTGGCAGGCATATATGCATGCAATGGTTGATTATGGGATGAAATAGTGAACTTTGGAAGTTTACAAATTTCCTATAGTCACCTCCTGCAGCATGTAAAGAATGAACGCCTGCTGAGAATTATGTTCAATTCAGAAGTTATTATTCAAGCTATTTAGAAGTTACCAATTGCTGCCAAAGGAATTCTTTGCACTTCTAGACTCATTTCCACTAGGTCCAATATTATAGAATCAGTCCACGAATATGTGACTATATGCATTAAGATGTTGATTCTAATTATGAAAGTAAATGCAGTGATTGGGACTTTTTTTTTCCAGGGAGATTTGCCCCTAATGGTGAAGTGGATGCAAGATGGGGATGGTTCCTGCTCTTCTGGGATGAATCCTCAGAGAGGATGGAGATGATGGGAATGATGGGAATGATGGGAATGATGGAAAGGATGGGAATGATGGAAAGGATGGAAAGGATGGGAATGATGGAAAGGATGGAAAGGATGGAAAGGATGGAAAGGATGGAAAGGATGGAAATGATGGAAAGGATGGAAATGATGGAAATGATGGAAATGATGGAAATGATGGAAAGGATGGAAAGGATGGAAAGGATGGAAAGGATGGAAAGGATGGAAAGGATGGAAATGATGGAAAGGATGGAAAGGATGGAAAGGATGGGAAGGATGCAAGGTAAGGATGGGGAGGTGATGGTGATTGAACCAAAACGTATTCATGCCCTTATTTATAGGGGGTATGGCTCCCCTTCGCATTCTTGTGTCATGAGGTACATCCTTTCACTCCAGACGGCCCTGTCTGGGGTCATGAGGTATATTCTTTCACTCCAGCCAGTCATGTCTGGGGTCATGAGTTACATTTTTTTTCCAGACTTGGGCATGAAGTCCAGCTGTCTTGCTTCCCACAGGATGGGAGCCTGACTCCTGCTTTGTCCACGTTCTCATTGCATCAATGTAAAATGCATATGGCAGAATTTTCTTATTGTTCTTATAACGACATCTACTATCGCACTTACCAAAGCCATTTTTTAGGAGGGATTCACTGGATTTTGTATTGAGTCCTTGGGTCGTCCTCTTGCAATGTTTCTCATTTTATTATGTGGTCATGCAGAGAAACTATACATGGGTGACCCCAATGAAATTGAGGATGGAGCAAACTAAAGTTATTATTATTAAAGGCAGATGGAGGGAGGGGTGAAACTGATTTTATTAGAGAACCAAATAACCTCCACTTCCTGTTTGTGACCTTTTCTTGAAGCGCATTTTTTAACATCTACAGGAGCTACACAATTCTATATCTCTATATTTTTTATCCACGCTTGCTTGAGATGGAAAGCTGATCAATTCTAGATTCGGGCTTATTGATAAATAGTTTTCCTTTTTCCCAATTTGCTGTTTCTCCAGGGATTTTCTGGTATCCATCTATTTTCAAACTGTTAGAGATTCCTGCAGTAATATGCACGTTGCTTTGTTCCATGTCTGCAACTCTCTCCTTAGGAAGTTCATTAAAACCAGACTCAGTCTGACTAGGGAGGATGAGGAGTGACAATACTCCCTTCAATGATAAAGAGGGAAAAGGTAGCAGGTCATTAGGTCCAACATATCTCATATTTTAGTTCTGGTTTTTTTTTGAAGACCTGTTCTGTTCCTCCCGATATATGCAGGAATGCCCTTTCGATCTCTCAGCTTTCTTCAACTTTCAATTTCTTTCTCCCTCTTCTGAAAGTATTTACTCCCATCTCCTTGCGTATGTGGGACAGACACAAAACGGGACTCCCGATATTGGGACTCTGAGTCAATAATCGTAGAATATCTTTCTAGGGAAAAGGAAAAGGGAAATATAATTTTGGGAAGGAACTGGAGTATTTCAGTTCGAAATTGACAGTGGTAGGTGTTGTTTGTTTCAGGACATGCATTTAATCGGTTCACTAGCTAAGGAGACAGGAATAATTTGAAAACTAGCCAACACATTTCAAATTTATGCTGTTATATCCATAATTGTTTGTACTTCACTCCTCTCCCTTAGCGCATAAGAACGCCCCATGGATGTCGGTTGAGAAGCTGCCTCCAGTGTATGGAAACCGCCAGATCCGCTGTAACGTGGAGAAAACTGAGAAAATCTTTTTTCGAGGGAAGGTTCCCGTCCTTTTCTATCATCACACTGCGCTCATATTGTGGGAAATGGATCGAAAATTGGCAGGATTGCCTCCCCTTGATCCAGGTATGATTGAAATCCTTCCGTTTCCATCTCTCCTTTCACCTCTCTCCACATTCATCAATGCATGAATATAATTTAACATTTGGGAGGATGGCTCATGGAAAAAAGTGAATCTGGAAGATCCCACAGTTAAGATCTATTGACAGCAGTTTTGTTGTCAGAAAGGGTCTCAATGTGAATCCCGACATAACAGGAAGAGAAAATGTTTTTCCAAGGTCAAATGTAGTTAGGGCAGCTCTTGAATTCTTGTGAGCAAGAGAATATATATTACTCTGATTTTTGCGATTTGCAATGAATATTTTTTTTTCCCTTGTCCATTCTGGGGCAAGACAAGTCACGACTTGCCCCAGACCACAGGTCTGCTCAACTCGAGTCCTTTTCCTCGAATCAGGCTTCTGCACCTGCGATTTCGTTAAGTTGGAATGGGCGACAATGAAAGTGAGTGAACGAACATGGTAATCTTTGATTGCGCCCCATGAACGAAAACCCGGTGAAAATGGCGAAACAGAGGAAAGATAGGATCGACAGTGCGTTGCAAGCCCCATCATTTGCGAACTCAAACCCGCTCTTCCTAAGGCAATTCGTATCATAGGGGCCGCATGTCGGTATAACAGAGGACTTTTGTGCCTCTCCCTCTTTCTCTCTTTTTTTCTGTCTTTCTGTTTTACTACCCATCTGTGTGTCTGATAGTCCGCCGGAGTTCTACCGGAGTCCAATTTTTTTAACTTGACCCGCTCAGCCCAGTTTAAATCAAGACCACAACCGAACCTAAACTCGGTCGCCTGTCGGGGGAATCGCTTTCTACCCACGGATCTCATCGGGCCTATCAGGCAGGCCCACTTATGTCACGAAGCTTCAAATCTCTCGTTTTCTGGTGGAGTATTCCCCTCACCCGACCTGAAAATTGAGTGCATGCTGATCCGCAAGTCAAGATGAAATCCAGCCGATCCATGCCCCTGCAGAGCTCCATATCATCCCTTCTTCATCAAATTCCATTGCCCTGTCTCACTTAATGAACAAGAAGTTCACTTGAATGCTATGGAGCAGACCGCTATTAAATTTTTATACTGGCAATTGATTGTTTCCAGGTGACGGAATGCGTCCCCTATTGATCCAAAGCTTGGTTGCTGTAACTAATTGCTCGCAAGAAGAGAGAGTAGAAGTTTGCGTTTTACACTCGACGTTAATGTTTTCGCTCCAGCGATGGAAAAGCACCCTTTTCATATGGAAACAGGCCAGTCAGTGAGACGAGAAAGAGCAAAGCGTTATTTCTCCGTCTAGACAGTTTCCACTCCGCCCCCCCCCCCCCCCCCCCCCCCCCCCCCCCCCCCCCCCACCGATCTATCCAAATGAACAATGTAGTGGCATTGTACTAAAAAGTACTTGATGCCTGTTCGTTACATTTTCCCTTCCCCAGTCTGGTGTAGCTACCGACTTGCCTGTTACACTTCCACCCTAGGCAATGTTCCTGGAGTGCAAGGGAGGATTCAAGAAAGCCCCTTATTAACGGCAATATGCGATTCGAAGAGGGAAAGAAAATGTTGACCTGGCCAGAATGAAAATGAATGCTTCCAATTTTTAAAAACAGGTAAGGTTCTCAAGAGGGGAAAGTGTCAGATAACCCAAAGGAGTCTCAGTTACACATGGGAAAGCGGGAGAGTCAATTCTATTTCCAAGAGAGGAGATGAAGGACAAGCGAGATTCCCTCCACTGCATCCCATAAAAAAACATTCAAACTGCGGCCCATGGGCCGGATCCAGCCCATTAGTTCATTTTTTCCGGCTCGTTAAAGTCTTCTTCAACAGTCAGTTACGGAAAAGTACTGCAAATTTCACCTTCTTTGCATAAAAGATTAGATATCAGGCTTTTATTGTGGCCACTAATCACCCCTGAAGACCTCCGGTCTCCGATCCGGCCTCCAGCCTTATCGAGTTTGAAACCCCTGCCATAAAACGAAGGCACCTGCCTGCGTTTTTGTAAACGTTTCGGTTATCCGCCTTTCCCTCCCCCATGGGTCTACTGGGCAAAGGAAAATGTAACGAACAGGCATCAAGTACTTTTTAGTACAATGCCACTACATTGTTCATTTGGATAGATCGGAGAGTGAATTTATTTTCCCGAATCTGTCTGGGCGTATTAAAACATGCTTCAGCTCCACTGTGCTAGCAGTGTGCTGGTAGAGATTTGTCCTAATGAACAGAGGGAAGAGGGAAAGTGAATAAGTCTCCTTGTGTACACGAGAAAACTTGCACTTACTCGATTGTAAGAGAGAAGGGCCCAAGATCGCGATGGTTGGAATAGGCCCAATCTCACATCCGAATCCAGTTCATGTTAAATTATAGACTCCACTCCGAAAGCATTTTCATTCCAAAAATAGATCCTTTGATGACTCCTCAGTTTCTATCAATAGTTTCTCGTATCTCTGTTTCCGAAAAGAGGGATACTTTCGTTTCAGTTCTTCAAATAATGGGAGCGAAATACACCATGGTAATTGAGTCCTTGGATGATCCGGCGATTTTATTTCTTTCCTAACCCTTCAATTAAAAATGGTGGCCAAGGTTGGACTGGATGGAGAAAAAATGAGAAAAAGTGCAGCCCTTCGTTCTCTCTCTCATATTTCTCCAATTTAATTTTTTGTTTTTACCATGTAGAGACTATCTACTCGAAAGGCAAAAACGGGAACTTCAATCCGGTACTCCCTTAGCTTTCCTTTATTTTCCGTTTCCCCCCTTATATTCCGTCCTGCATCTAAGGGCCTGCATATGAGGTAGAATCGAGAAGGGAAGTATACGGGACTCTCAATTCAAATTGCCTTTCCCCTTCCCCCTTTCTTGATCCCTTCCAATGAGACTCATTCATATTCATGCAATATCTAAGTTCGTCCAGTCTCATTCTCGGGATCTCAGCTGGGCTCTCCAGGACTCCTTGGAGCAGATATGCCTTCTTCGTTTTTCGTCATTTATAGGGAGAAACGTACGACTCAGTTAGAGAGAATGAGGAAATTCGATCCTTTCCTAAAAGTCTATTCTCAATAATTGCTTTCCTTCTCATTAGAAATTAACCTGTAATTTGGTTAATCGTCGGCTTACTGGTCAATCTGTTGAGGAAATAAAAAAAAAAAATACATGTGCCTAGGTGCATCCGTTTTTTGTCCCCTGGGATGAAGGGGAGGGGAAGGAAGAATAAAATGAATGAGGTGCAATAGTGGGTCACTGGACAGGAGGGTGAAAGAGGGGGGAAAATTACAAAAGGTGGGATGAGAGCGATTAAGGAATCCACATTCCTTCTTTGCTATCTCTTTCTCTGCAAAAATGTTCCCTCCAGGTGGAAGCTATTCTTGGAACTTCAGTTAACTGAAGGTTGAACGATTAGTGTTCCTTGGTCGCCAGATAATGAAGTGAAACTGAAATTGAGATCCTCAGTTCCTGCTTCCTCCAGGAAGAACGCTTGCTTTCCATTGAA